GTCCAGCAAAGCACCGGCAGCAGACGACAACGAAAATGGGGTAGACACACAAAAACAAAAATCATACACAAGGGGAAAAATGGACTCCTCGACGAAACGCAATGAGTGGCGCTGGGCAACTGCGTTTTTTTTTTGTCTTCCTCACGAGACGTCGCAATTCCGCACTCTCGCTTTCACTCAGCAGGAGGCGCTGTCCCCTCCACAGCCCCAGCAGGACGAGCAGCAATGGCCGAGGCACACGCCCATCACACCCAGCGCTGTCGCCACATGTGTCCATCAACACCAAACACTGCGACGTCCTTGCAATGAGGGGAGGCGTTGATGAAGTGCGGTGCCGCGGGTTTGGGCGCCGGCGAAGGAGAAGGGGCCCGCACCCCACACGCGAGCGCGCCATCACCCAAAAGGGCGAAGCAAAACCCGGAGCGCGGGGCCGACCACGCCCGGCAAAAGCAAAAAAGACGGCAAAATAAATACGGCGGCAAAGGTGGAGATCAAACGCCCGTGCGCAGCCAGCCTGGGGCCGCAGGGGGAGTGGGCCGAACCCCCGGGAGAACAGCCCCACTCCACGAAACGGAGGGAGCGCAAGCGGGGAAGAGGGCGCAGTTTGTTTTCGTCTGCGTGTGTGTGTGCGTGTGCGAAGCGGCAGGCCCACAGCGACCCGTCGGGGTCCCGCCGCCACCGCTTGGCTCGTCGCGGGCCGTGAAGGCGGCGCCCAGCTGCCTTCGTCCTGCGCAGCCAGCCTGGGGCGTATGCTCCGCCGCGCCCGCACCCAGCCGGGGCCGAGGTTTTCTTTTCTCACATTTCCGCTTCTTGGGGGGGGGCGTGTGCCGCGGCGGTGGCCGGCCTGCGGGTCATCCGGCAACTCGCAGAGGGCTGGGGGAGGTGGCTGGCTTCAAACAGAGCAGCCGGGGCCCCAGCGGTCGGTCGGCCGCAACAACCAGCGGCGTGAGGAGGAGAAGCGACGTGCTGATGGACTCGAAGAGAGCTCGGGGGCGGGAATCTGTCACGGCAAGCTCGGGGTATCGCTCTTTCCATCGAGTAGTAGCTGTGGCAGTGCGGGGTCGTCGGTGGTGCGGTTCTGCGCGGCGTTGACTCTGATCAGCTCGGCACCTGGGGTCCCGCAAGGGGACCGACCCCTCCGATTCGGGTCCCCACCACCTTTTTCGTGGCGTTCTGCAGACTGGGCGCCGCGCCGCTGCTTCATGAGTTCGCTCCTCTAAGGGTGCATACGGCACACTTTTCCTTTGCTTGGCCCTTATGGTGGAACGAGGCAGCCGCCTGTCGGCTTTGCACCATGTATGAGGCCTGCGACGCGGCACCCCGCAACGCGGACCACCCAATCTCGCGGCCACAATCGAGAACAGGACGGCACGGTCAACGCTCCGCACGCGTAACATCTCAACTGAGGGTGCCGTGCCGAGTGGAACGCGAATAAGGACGCCGCGGCCAGGTGACTGGGGTCACAAAAGTTAAGTACCTGGCACTTCGTTTTTCTACGTTCCAACGCGATGACCCTGCTGTGCACACCACCTTCTTGACTACCGCCGCTCGCAAGCCCACTCACTTTACAGAACTTCTTTCCTTTGCACGACCTCTACAGGAATAATTGAGAGCAGAAAAAAAATTGTTTTTGATGCGTCCTCACATGCATACGTGGCAAGTCACAAACTTTGCACCCACAAGCGCGCAAGAAGCAAAGCGAAGGGTGGGTACGACGTGTACACCTTCTTCCCCGCTGCACCGCGCCGCCTTTTGCAGAACGTTTTTTCTCACACACCAGACAAAGGTGCCCCAGAGAAACAGGTTTCCCAGTGGAGGGGACCCCATCTTACATTTCTATTCCTTCCGCAAAGTTTTGATACCTGTCATAAAGAACTGTTCGGAGATTCTCCCTTGATTCCGCAATTCGCCGGAGAATAAACTCAGCAGCCTCCACCTCGCTCTTCTGCATGGAAAGCCGCCAAGCAAGATCCTGGATCGTCCTTCGAGGCTTGAAGCTGGGCAACCCACTGCCAAGCATCAACTCCACAAGTATGCAAATCTGACGCGCATACTGCCGCACCGCAAGGTAGCAGCGAATAGTTAAATCCATAAACAAATTATACGCCTCCGGGTCCACCAATGCCTTTGACAAGGAGGGGCTCTGCACGGTTCCCTTTCCACGACCCACAGGGGACCCCATAAGTTGCACCATCTCTGCCGTCAGCTTGAATGGGGAAGACTCAAAATTTATATCCCCTCCTGGCGAAAAGTCAAACAAAAATCCAAAATCAATGTGCACAAGGTGCCCATCAGCGTCAATCATGAGATTGCCATTGTGGCGATCCTTAATGTTGAGGACAAAGGACGCCACCGAGTACGAAGCCATACTCCGTATGAAGCATTCTCTGGCCCGGTGAAACGTCACTGACTCTGGATGGCCGTAGGTTTGCACAAAATACTCCGCAAGGTTGCTTTCCACAAGTTTCCCAATTTGATCGCGGCTCATCGCACGGGGAACACACTCAATAACACCACTCTCTCTTCCAGTCGTCACCACACGATACGGATACAAGTACGACGGCACTTGAATAGCGTTGAAAATACGCTGGAACAGACCGATGATCTGCAAGGCAATTTGATCCTGTCGGCAATCGTCGCCCATCTTAAATATGCATGCCTTAACGGTGGTCTCTGCGTCTGAGGACATCGCTTCCTCCTTCGTCAGGGCAATCTGCGAATCCTCCGGGTTGCGGGGGATACACTTAAACTGAACCAAAATAGGGCATTTCGCCGCACTTTGCATCGCGCCAGCCGTGGCAGGTATGACACCCACAATGCGCCACTGTGTGTCCGTGGGAAGGTACAAATGGTGCCGCTCCACCGGTTCATGAAACTCCGCATCACACAGGCGAAGCCGCAGTTTTTGTTTACGCACCGCCTTTTCCACTGACCTCATTTCACCCGACAAGGAAATGATATTGTCAACAAAAGCGAACTCCCCGTCGTGAAATATGCGCCGATTGGGATCAAGCCCTTCCACCACATCAGAGGCGAGTTGTGCACACCGCCTTGCCAACTTCCCCTCCCCTTCCCCCTCCGTACGCAGGGACCAAAGCAACTGATGTGTAAACATGTCACTCTTCTCACACATCTTACGCAGGAAGACAGCGATGCCACCGGAATCATCACCAGAAAGCACCTGCAAAATTTGTGGAAGATAAAATATAAGACTTTCACTCTTTTGAGATAACAAGCTGCGAAGTGCATACGTGGAGACCTGAGGATACCGCGTCGTATACGATTTTTCCAGGAATCGAAGCGCCTGCAGAATCGTACAATTGGTGAATAAACCAAGCGCGGGATAGCCCCTCATAAGGACTTCTTCGTTAAGGTACAAGTCGACTGCCTCAGGCATGTGGCAGAAGTCCTCGGGCTTGGCGGTCACAAGCCGCTTGGAGCACTCCAGCACATGCGGGTTGGGAAATCGTGCCACCAGCGCCAATAGTACCGCCGGATCATTCCTCGCCGCTGCCTCACAATGCCGTCTCCACACTGCCGCAGAAAGACTGGTCGTGCCCTCCACCTTTAAGTGGGCCCCACCCTTTTCACGAGGACGAAGCCACACCGCAAGCCGTACGCGTTCATGCTCAACCAAGAGCCTTAATAGAGCCACAAGACCCAACAGGCGAGTGCGTTCGCTGTTGCTCACTGCCTGAGTCACTCCATACACATACATTGAGTCTAAGGAGGCCACACCGCATAGTGCGTGGCGCACGCAACTCCCTATGAGGGTAAAATTTGCAGCCAAATGTGTATGGGCTCTAGACAAATCAAAGTCAAGAAAACCCAGAGTGGAATGCGACAGTGCATCTCGATCCTTATCAAGAACGCGGATAAGCTTTTGAAGGACCACAAACTCTTCCTCAGCGGCGGTGAGATCCCGTGTAAAGTACCATGAAGGTGGTGTCTTGTGAAACCATTGCAGTAGACACTTATACCAGCCTTGACGAATTTTCCCAATCGACGCGAAGTCCACCAGAACAGGCGACCCGATGCGCAAGCGACGTTCATTGACTACCTGTAAATTATCACAAATTGAGCTCATTAACAGGGCGCACTGCATCGTTTCCGAAAATGAAATGTCTTTCGTAGAGAATCGAGACGGTGCCTCTACCACGCGCATCGCAAGATGGTGCAAGAGAAGAAGCACAGACGGATGAAACGACACTGGCCCGCGAATGTCCACGTAGCAATCCGACAAGAACTCCAGAAGTAGCTTGTGTGGGGAGTTCACATTATAATCTTTAGGGTATGAAGCCAAACTCTGCATCCACTTTGTTTGCTCTGCAGACTCCACTTCATCGGCCTGCGAAGGCCGTGTGCCATCAAACAAACCAATCCGCTGCATAATTGTCCAGATAAATCCCTCAACCACATGCGCCAGTAGCGGCACCGCATAGCGCTCAGACTTCTCAAATAAAAGCCACCTCCAACCCTGAATGGCAGACGCTATGTAGTGCCTTGAAAACAAAAGAATAGGCCCTTGCACAAGGTGCTTCAGAAGTTCCAAGTGCGATGAGTGGGGAGCCCGCGTGGAGAGCAGAAATGCGGCACCCGTGCAAAGAAGCATATCCGACTCGTAAAACTTTCGCAATACCGCCTGATCGTCGCGCTTGGATGGCGTTCTCCGTGAGGCATCCTCTCCCACCTCACCCCCGGCATCGTTGTCGTTGCTATCATCCTCTTCGGCACGCCGTTCCACCTCGGTGGCCGCGTGAACAGCACTGGCTGGGGACGCAAAAAGCCGTTCCTGAGAGGTTGCTGTCACTGTTATTGTTCCAAGCCTATCCCGCACCATCTCCTGAATCTGCTGAAGAAGAAGAATGCCTACCCCATACTGCGACGTCAGACGAAGAGCCGCTGTCACTTGCCCCTGCGCACTGCTCCGCTTCATAAGAACATGGGCGTAGTTCTGGTTCAGCTGGCCCGAGGCCGCACTCATGTTATGTGCACGCAGAGCAAGTCTCGACCCAGCGGCGGAGCCAATCACTCCGGAGGTGGCTTCCTCCTCCACAATAAATAAGGTGGCGTGCTCCAGAAGTGCCAACGGCGAACCATGAAGCGCTGCTTGAACCCAAGACTCTGCAAAAGCCTCTGCGTCTTTCAGCTGTTTTCGTCGCTCAAGAGAGTCGGGATCGGCAGCTACGGCTGGCGTTTCCGGGAATTGCAGATGTTCACAGAAACGCTCCACCTCTGTAGCGTTCCCCACCTCCAGCTGATTGATAACAGCCCACAAAAGAGGAAGGGATGTACTGCTTGCCGCAAACTCCGGGAAACTGGAAATAAGTTTACCGAGAATCTCCTTTGCGGAACGCCGTACAGAGTCGATAGCGAATCCGTAGAGTAATACCAACTGTCGCGCATTCTTATTGATTCTGCTCGCCGCCAAGTCTGGAAGCATTTCTTGCAAAGCAGAGATATATCGTGTTGTCACAGCTTTCGTTACATGTGTTAGAATTGTCCTAATGTCTTTACTGGCGTCAAATTCTCGAACTTCATAGTGTTGATATTGAGTGATAGCGGAGATGGAGCCACAGGAAGCGCGCAGCATTTCCAGTGTTGCAAGTGCATTTACCAAAAAGACCTCGGAAATAGAAAGACGGCCTATTACATGTGTGGCCTCAGGGCAGTGGCGCCGGAGGAAATGCACCAACTCCTTCTGATATGACTTACCATTTCCCAACTCACCACTGCTAAATAAGTGACTCTTCAAAACATCAATATCCGCCATGGTTTGCTGGTAGTCGGAGGAACGCATACGCATAAGAGGCGGCATAGACGCGGCAAGCAATCGTATACATTTGGCGTTACTCTTTGAAAGTAAACCCTTTTTTTGACCACCCCGTTTGCCTAACGCCGACACCAGGGCGCCCGGCTCAGTCCACCGGAGCGCCTCCTGTGTAAGGCGGTAGTAGCACAACATAAGCCAGCAGGAACGAAACTGTGTCATCCCATTCTCGGCATAGAGGAGGGAGTTTATACTGGATGGTTCAAAGCAGTAGTGGCAGAGAATATCTTCACGCTCGTCCATCTGCGTCAGCTTCTGTGCATTTTCGTGGTGGTACACAAGCTGCTGAATGTCCGTCGCTGGAAACAGTGTCGAGAGCTGGCACAGCAGGCAGAGGGGACGGAGAAAGAGCGACAGCACCTCGACTGCAGCACGGTGTACATCAAACTTTGGCGTATGACGACTCCCCCTCTTGATGTCTTTGCCGTATAGAATACCAGACTCCGGCCACGCCACATTGATCATGCATCGCAGTACAGCACGCAAAAGCACACGGAGTACGTCACTCTCTGCGTTAAAACTATCAATCCAGCGCACCTTCGCCTCCACCTTACCCGTGTTAAGGAGACGAAGGCCCTCCCGCGTCATGATACGAATGCGTTCGTGGAAGCGTTGCACAAGCCCCACAAAAGATTCCGACACCATCAGCAAAGTGACACTGGGAAACACAGTCGTGGGATCGGCAAGGTCGCCAGAGCGTACATGATCTCGCAGCGTGTCCTCGAATGTGTCACTCAAAACTTTTCCAAATCGCAGCAAGGCATCATACGGAAGCGGGCTAAAAACGGAACGGTGTCGCGACACAAGCAGACGATTCATCACCCCGAAGCACACTGACAGACGCGGAGCCGCCCTTCCTGACAAAAGCAAACACGTTTTGCCTGGTTCACTGTTTCCACCATGAACTGACTGAAGAATGGTTGGGAGACGCACCACAGCATCCAACACCTCCGTCACCGCAAAGGAACGAACATTGGGGTTTGTGGCACAGATTCCTTGAAGACACAGTGCAGCCATTTCGCCCTTCTGCACCTCTTGATCAAGCGGCGTGGTTTGCGAGGCCCCCAACGCCCCAGCTTCCAGCACACGATGGATCAACTCAAGGACAATTCCCTCAACGCTGATGTAGTAGTTGTGTGAATACTGTGCCGTCGCCACAGCGGAGGATGGAGAGATGTGACGCAACCGGGATATCACACTGCCTTCAGCAGAAGCAGTCATAGCAATAACCTTGATGCACTGCTCAGCGATGCCTTGTCGAAGAGGGGCTGCGATCGCCTTTGCCGTGATGAAACTAAATAAACTCGTCGGCAGAAGAAGAAATTTCACGATGTTGCCAATCACACGGAGACGAAGATCTTCCTCCTCGGCTGAAGGCACGTAGACTGCTGCAGATGTGTTCTCCCCCGGCTGCGGCGGTTGATACAAGCCACTCATGGTCCGATATAACTGCACACGCACCAGCTCTGCCTGCAATAAACTTTTCATCACGATGCGCACGTTATCGCCATAGAGTGTGATGTTCGTCTTCCGGAGCTTCTTCCATGTGCTCATGGCCTCTTGAAGGGCAGACCAAACACCCTCTAGCAGTGTATCGGCCTCAGTACATTCTTCGCGAGAGGCGAAGGCAACCATGTCGTGCTGCAAATCTACCACAGAGTTGAAATTTAACGTACATGCTGTCACGGCGTCCTGAATCCACCGCGTCAAGAGCGTCAGCATTGCGGCAGCCACGCGTGCATGCAAGTCTTCTTTCTGCATGAGGCCTCTTAATATGTAGTCCGATTGAAGCACAGCTCGCAGCCAGTTGCGCATTCGAGCATAATGGACGCCTCGGGCATAGCATATCGCCTCCATGAGGTAGCAAAGAAACCGCTTGTGCAGCGGCTCTTTTCGCCTTGACGATGTCGTGAAGGCATCTGTCAAGTTGTGAAGGTGATCTAGCAGTTGTTGGCTGAGGTTAACGGGTTCCCGCTTCGTTGTGTACGCGAGCCCGTTCAGGGCACCAAGCGCAATGGGGTTTTCAACGCAATCATCAATGTTAACGGGAATACAGGATATGATGATGGAGTCGATGATGCGGCTGTCAAACCATGCCAGACCAATACGCCTCTCGCGGACGTGGCTTCTGCACGCATGGGAGTGACGGCTGCTGCTGCTGCTGCTGCAACCATTCGCCTCCTCGCCAACCTCCTCCCCCCCGTCTTTCCTCCCCGCTTCGTTGCCCCGCAGCAGCACCCCACAAAAAACCAGCGACGCCACAAACCCCTGCACGTCAACTCCTGGACAAAACTTTACGATGCTCAGCCGCTGCATCAGCAGCGTGTAAAAGGAGAAACACTCGGTGTAAAATCCCTTGGTGTAATCACACGGCAATGAACGGCACTCAACTGCAAGAGCCATGAGAGAAATTAACGCTGGGGCGTTCTTGACAGATACCTCGGATCTCTGTGAGATGAGCTCGTTCACCTGTGACAGACTGATCAGCAGTGCAACGCGTGGGTGATTCAAAACGTCACTCAGCTGCATTGTCAGAGGCTGCGGGGATTGCAGCAGCACTCCCGACTCGTGAAATGACGAGGCGGTGCTACTTGGTCGCCCACCACCGGCGGCCAACACCCCTGTCGTATCCCCCTGCAAACTAAACAGTCCCATTGGATCAACGTATTCGGCGATGCTGGAGAACCTCATGCCGCGGGGGGTAAACTTCCCGTAGTGGCGCGACGCTGGTGATGCTGCTACATCTGTTGCTTTTGTTGGTGTTGGCGCTTCCCCTACGGCTCCGTCTGTTGCCCGTACACTTGTGCCCTGCAATTGTTGTCGCAAGTGTTGGCCTAGCACCCGCGTCATTGCAAAGACCGGCGAACGCCGCACCCACGCTGGAAATGGAATGTCATCCATTGCACACAGACGCAGCCACCCTCCCTGCTTCCTCTGTCGCACGGTGCGTGTGTGTGTAAGTTGTAAAAAAAAAAAAAACTTCAAGCCAAATTAGGCAGATATATATATATATATATATACACTAACAAAGCAAGCCAACCAGCACGTGTGATAGTAGAAAAAAAAATATACGAGCTAATAGGCCCAAAGAGTGAGAGAGAGAGACGGCAGAAAAAAGTCATCAGACCGCTTGTTATAAAGATGTGCCAGCACTAATTAATTCCTCGTATTCACGCGGGTATTGCGACTTGAGAGCGTCAATGGACGCCAGTTCCCGTGCCTCCGCATCTGAAAACGCGTCTGCGTGGCCCAATATCTCTGGCATCGCATCCTTATTTTCTTTCGACAGCAAAATAAGCTCACATACACATAAGCCTTCTTTCTCTGTATACTTTGCCTCCACCAGGAGGTTGCCGTAAAATTTTCTTCTCACGGCAGCCTCAAGACGATCAAAAGCAGAATCCGCCGCGTTACGCGTGATGTCCACCACCTTCTGCTTTTCCTGTAAAGATGCGACTGTGACGAAATGCGGTTCCCTCACCACCTCTTGAGCCACATTCACTAAAACGCTGCCCAGTCGTGTTTCCGCATGCAGCGAAGTGCAACTCAGCGCATACGGGAAGTTTTCTCTACAGCTTAGCAGGGCCGCATCTTCAATGGCATGCATCTTGCTGACTGCGTACGCCTCCGCTATAGGCACAAGACGGCCCAGGACTCGCAGCTTTGCCGTCCCCTTCCACATGTCTTTTGAAACACAATCCGCATCGACCTGCAGACAGTCCTTCGACGAGCCGTCGCCAAAAAATGCGTTGAACATGTACAAGGCCAACTCCCGCAAAGTACTCACCGGTGGCGGCGCATGGCACTCGTACTCCGTCCATAGCTGCTCTCCCTTATCGCCTGCAAAACGATTTGTGGCTGCGCGCAGCACGCTGCACAGTACCACCACTGCACCCTCACCTTCACTGCCAATACGTTCACCGATGACAGTCTTGGATTTTGACATCAATGCTGCACGGTAGCGAAGGGGCGTGAGTTGTGACTTCTCCTCCTCACCATTGCAGTGTCCTCCGGTTGCTTCATATACTTCCAGGACCCATGAAATGGGCACCTGAGAGGGACTTGAAGCCTCTAACAGACGCAATACCTTAGTCAACATGCTGGTGCCAGCGCAAACAGCTTCCTCGCTCTTGTGATCGCTGTCACAGCTGAGAGTCGACAAGTCAACAGAAGAGAACTCCAATGGATGAATAGATACGTAATACTCCAATTCCTTGGGAAAGTGCTCCCGGGCAACGGCCGCCATGGCAATTCGCGTTGCCTGGCGGCTACGCGAATGCGTAGTACGCACAATAGTTGCTCGTTCCCCTGTCTCTAGCGTTACATGCCCTTCTGCAAACCACATCGGAGAGATGGAGCCATTCACATCCTTTCGTTCCAGCTTCACATCGAAATCCGTCCAGCTGTTCTCTCTCTCCAAAAACACCTTCACCATCTTTTCCAGCTCATTCTGCTTCGCCACCAGTTGTTGAAGCGTAACTACATCATCATTCTGCTTCGATTTTTCTCTTCTTGGAGCTCTACGCAAAAAGAGCACCGATTCCAGCTTCCCACCACTGTTCGTTTCAAGCGTCAAAGCTGACGCAGGTGACATAGTCGCTCGCGGTTCCGCCGTGACCCGTGCAGGGGCGGCAGATGCAGGCGTAAGGCTCCGAAGCGCTGTGTCATGTCCATCGTCCCTGGAGTCCACTGGGGCTGAGACGCAGAGAGGTTGACGCGCCGGGCTCACGGGCTGCGTAACCTTTTCGAGAGAGTTGGGCTCAGAGGAATGCGAATCTCTAACTTCTGACTGCAGAGCCTGTAGAAGGCTATTTGAAGAAACAGCTTCCACAGCATCCAGCATCTTTGCAGACCCCAAGGATGGGGACAGCAACCACCGCCCAGTGACGCAAGCGAACTCAGATCCCGGCCACCGCAACGGCGACTGGCCCCGTCCTAGCTTTATCGTCACCAGATGCTCACAAAGACACCGTAAGGCATGCATCTCACACGCAATGTTTTTAAGCACATCCTCGACACCAGCGGTGGAAGTTTTCCCGTATTCCTCCGCATCTTTCCGCAGCTCCTTCATTTTTATGTACTTCCACCAGCAGCCACGGTCAAAACGGTTCTTGTCACCGTCCCTAATCACCTTATCATTACAGCCTAACTCCTCCCACAGACTCCTCACTTCCACAAGCTCCGCCACAAAACCTCTAATGACATTGCTCCAGTGGAGGCTTTCAACGCCGCCACTCATGCCATGCTCCACCACCGTACCGCTTCTTTTTATGCTCCTCATGTAGGAACCACCATCATCGGCGACAAGCAGCATCTCACCGGCTGCCCGCATGTCCGATGCGAGAAAGTACAAGAGTGACAGTGGGCTCATCGCGTACGATAGACCAAAAAACAAAAACAAAACAAAGGAATGTAGAAATTCACAAACAGTTTGCCCTTGCTCTTTTGTCCTTTCGTACAAATGGAAAAAAATTTCACCGACGTCTTGGCGCAAAAACGTGCCAGGGAAGTGAAATGTGGAAGGAAGGAGGCTGGATCTCCCGCTCCCTTCTCTTGTTCGCTGAAACTTGTACAAACAACACGCGCAGGTAGCGCGCACCTGGCTGTGGCCCTTTGCCCCCTATTCACACACAAAAAAAAAAAGGCCACCTGGTTAAATTTGCGCCCAACCCACACACACGCAACTTCGGAGACAACTTCTTCCACGCACAGGCACAGACACAGCCGTAAGCAAGCGACATGTATCAATGCTGACAGGGTTCCCGTTATGAATTCACAAACTGGCAGTCAGTAGGGACCCACGCAACAGCCTGAACTCTTCTGCGTAAAGGGTATCCGCGATGGCAGTAGGAAATTTTGGGCAGGATTAAAAGAATAATAATAAAAAAAACGGGGGTGGTTTAGGCAAGACACCCACACATCTCTTTAGCCCCATCCGGTCACGCATCCTTTCCGGAAGGCCGCGAAAGAGAAGCAAATAATAATAATAATAATAATACAAGCACGAAGAGAAGCAAACACCCTGCAAAGAACACAATTCCAATTGCCTGCAAAAAAAAAAACAAAAACAAAAAAAAACAATTATTTTTTCCTAACAGGTGATCTCTCGCTGTTGAGTAGGATGCTTCCCCAGCGTACCGGCAATCGGGTACCACTACCTCCTCCCACCCACACACCTGCAGGTGCAGAGGAAGCACTCCTGCATCATGGGCCACCACAGAATAACTCCCCCCACCCCACCCCCCTCCCCGCGATGAAAGGCGTCCATCCGCTCGAAGTGCGTTAAAATAGGAATTGCAGGGGGTCATCGTAGGAGTGCGATGCAACGTCCGCCAGGGGGAGTGATCAGGCGCGCCTCTTGGCGCCGTGCCAAATTCCTGGCGGCCAGCGGTGCATTCTCAACCGTGAGGCGTGCACCTCCCAGGCCTTGGGGGAACGAAACCGGTGCCACTGTGTATGCTTGCTGTCTTCTTTTTGGAATGCAAGTGGCCCCCGCGTTCCGGGAGACCGACACCAAAAAAAAAGGGGGGAGGGGGGAGGGGGAAAAAAAACAGAAAAAAGGAACCCCAAGTGATGAGAGAAAACAAAAGAATTCCACCTAGCACTCTGACCCACCAACGCCCCAGCGGCATCCACGCACCTCCATCGTCGCTAAAGAAGAAATTAAGTATCCTTCTGTTACTTCGCCACTTTCCCTTTTCATCCGCATTTCTGTTCTTTTATTTTTTTCTTTTTTTCCCCCCTTTCTTCCTCGCAATGCTTCACTACTCTGGTGACGGCAGGTCCCTGTAACCCGGCGAACACGCCAGAGCCTCCGCAAGGTCCTTTTCAAAAAGATTTTCCAGCGCGCAGAGTGAGGCAATGTGGAGCGCCTGCGCACGCGTCAAGGCAGAACCAAACCCCACAAGTTGGACCTCGCCCTTTTTGGACTCACGACGATGCTTCTGCAAGTAAATGCGGCATGCAAAGCCACTACCGCTGCTGGGCAGCTGCTCCACACGCAACCAACGCTCGTTGCGGAAGTCGCGCGTAACGCAGCGTCTCAGGAGTGTGTACGGCCGTGGCGGCCCCGCGCTTTCCGCCCGCTCCAGGCCTCGCTTAATGTCTTGCATCACGGGTTCGGGAAGCTCCTCCACCACCGGGGCCGCGAATATATCCCCCGCGAAGGAACTCATCTCTTTTGAGTGCGCCAACAGGTACTGCAGCGGACGTGGAAAATTACGCCGACAGGCCAACACCACCACGTCCCGCACTCCCTCCCGCTTCGTCATGGCGATGGCACGCGACACCGCCAAACCACCCACCCGCGAGAGGGAAAGCGTCACGAACCAGTACCCGCCCAACTCACGCGCCTCAACGTCAACCACCTGCTGCTCAGCAACGGCTGACAAAGGGTCTGTGGCATCCATGATACTGGCATTCGAGACGCCAAAAAATGCGTTGAACATGTACAAGGCCAACTCCCGCAAAGTACTCACCGGTGGCGGCGCATGGCACTCGTACTCCGTCCATAGCTGCTCTCCCTTATCGCCTGCAAAACGATTTGTGGCTGCGCGCAGCACGCTGCACAGTACCACCACTGCACCCTCACCTTCACTGCCAATACGTTCACTTATAAGCACGTCCCCATTCTGCCCGTAAACAGCGGCACGGAATCGTGGATGAAAAGGACAAAGGAGACACTCAACGCTACCGTCATTGTCATTCCCATCGTAGGTGTTGCTATCAACATATTGCTCTAGCGTCCATGTAAAGGGGGCCATGGAAGAAGCCTCTGCCTCAAGGAGCGCTAAAACCTGGCTCACGAACGACTCTGCCCCCACGCGATATACGGCGTTATCAACATTCCGCGCGTCCTGGTCAGGGTTGACGGCATCCCCACGATTAAGTTTGGCATACGCCTCTAGTTCCTTCGGAAAGTACTTCTGTGCGAGCTGATACACAAGAACACGTCTGGCATGCTTAACTTGTGAATAGGGGGGTGAAATCGCCACCACGCGCCGCTGCTCCTCGCCCTCAATCTGCGCCTCCATCTCTGCCACCCACTGTGGAAGACCCAAATCCCCCGACGCATTGCGCAGGCGCACACGCAAGTTGTGCCATCCCAAATCCTCCGCCGCAAAGGCGGCGACAAGTGAGAATAGGTTCCCAACGTGTTCCACACGTTTCTCGCGTGGAAGAGCACGAAACTTGCTGCCACGAGCCATCGTATCACTTGAAAGATCAATGTCAGGGTGAAGCAGCAGTGCATCGCGGTATTGGTTAGGAAAATTTTCACGCAATGCATCGAGACACGCACTACGCCAAGCTTCTCCACGTTTTTTTGCTTGCCGCTGGATTAACAACTGCTTCGAGCGCAGGCCGTCATTGACAGTGAGGATTGCCCTTGCCTCACCTGCAACACGGTCCTCTTGGTATGCCGTTTGGTAAAAACTACCTAGCAGCTGCGAGGTTAGTGTCCCAAGCAGTGCATACACGTTCCACTTTCCACGATGGTTTGCGGCAATGTTGTAGCTGTCATGCTTAAGCACCGCTAGCTCCAAGAGCTGCGTGGTGGGAAACAATACACCACCACCACGTGCGTCAAAGTACGCCCGCCCAACGTCGGGGTATTGGTCAAGCAGGTACGTGAGCCCCTGCACATAGCAGTCAAACTCAAGCCGATAGCGACCCGGGCCGGTATTCTGCCAGACAACACTTCCGTCAGATATGAAGCACGCGGTAAAAAAGACGCACTGCTTCTCGATTGTTGTGTCATCGCCAACACCACTAACACTGCCAGCACCACCCTTTTTAGAAACCGCAGTTTCCTTCCCGTCTAAACCATAACTATTGGTTCTGTCCCCCTCGATGCGAATCACGGCAACTTCCTCCGGCTTTTTCTCATGCTCCTTTGCAAGCCTATGCACCATCGCGTCAAACTGCCACCGCATGCGTGTGATTAGTGGCACCGACGGAAGACACTGATCAAGAATTGTAACATCCGGCGAGAAAGCGGCTTCCGAGCGAAGTGCCTGCCCCGATGCATTTTGGTATGCCGTCAGTGGCGTGGCCTGCCGCTTCACTTGATTCACGCTAATGTTGCCACATACATCCTCGACAATGACGGCAGCTGTGAAGGTGGTCGGACGCAGCACTCGGTACTGCTCCTCCACCGGCACTGGCGCTGGTCCTTCCGCGCCGTCTGCCTGTTCGCCGTCGGCTGGTTCATGAACCGCATCTGTGTAGCCCTCTCGCCGCCCCGTATTTTGCTTCGAAGTCGACGACGAGACAGACGAGGGCTCCTCCGCGCCCTCGTCAAAACAGTGGCTCTCGACGGTTTTTCCCCATGAGCGAACGAAGGCCTCTACTTCGCGAACGCTTTCAAGCTGCACAAGAGCGGACTCAAGCTCGTTACGGTAGCGGTCCCGCAGCATCGCAAAACAACGCATCAAGGCATCATTCGCTGACTGGCCACGCACCTCCCCAGTGAAGGTGAGCGCCGGCGCCACTCCCCACTCGTCACGCACGTAGGCCCTGCAAATCCACTCCGAACGAGTCACACCAGCACCACCTGCAGAACTTCCAGTAGTACCATAATTGACCTCATCAGTGTATTGCTGCTGCTGCTGCTGCTGCTGCAGATGCCTCCGCAGCTCGGCGTTGGAGGGGCTTCTGATGGCAAACTTTAATACTCGACTAAAATGTACACATAATTCTCGCAGTTCGTCCATAATTGCCTTAAATTCCAGTTGGCGCGGTGAAAGAGAAGGCGCGGCGGTGTGGCGCCGATATCCACCCCGTTTTGCATGGCCGCGTCCACGCCCACGTGACACCTGCGACGACGCTAAGCCCTTCGGCTGAGGAAGTATAAAAATTACGTCGCTGTCAAGAGCGTCCTGTAGGACACGCCCCAAAACCTCATCAGCCCGCTGGCCATTTGCCGCTGCAAGCTCCACTGGAAACCCAAGCAACCGGCACGTTGCCGATGCCCGGTACTCCATCGTGAACCCTTGTGGTGAGTGCGACTCTCTCGTGGCTCCTGCGAGTTCCCTTCGCAATACGTCGCCCGCAACAGGCTCTTCATCCTCCACCACCACCGCCTCCTCCTCCTCACCCTCAGGCTCCTGTGTCCTCTGCGTGGCCTGTCGTGCGCGACGCCTTGGGCACCGTCGAAGCACCAACTTCGCCTGCGGCCCAAACCGCTCCCGCAAGAAAGCCTCAGCCTCCTGCAGGCCCTTCCCCTCCTCCACAGAGTTGATCTCCCCGCTCACAGCTGTGCTACAAAACCTGGCAGAAGCAATGAGGGCTGCCATCGCTGCTGGTGCGTACACACGCGGCATGCCACAACAATTCCACCGGCAGCTGCCTCCGCCATGTAGAGGCGCAGAAGAATGCATCACGCGACACACTGCTGTGAGCCGCATCTGTGAGGGAAGAAACAAGAAGGCGGGTGTCGTACGCATCCTCATGGCTGCACCGGTGGCATGGCTGCGCACGGGAGGGGTGCTCCCTCCGCAGAGGTATTTAATGAAGCTCATACCACGTTTCTACAGACAACAAAAAAAATATATCACAACGCAAGAATAAAATACAATTTTTTTTTTTTAAAAAACGTAAACAAAAAAAAGTTAAGTATTAAAATCGACCCCAGCACGCACACACATATATATATATATCATGAATTCAATACAACACATTCGTCCGGCACAATTACATTAGGAAGGAAACAAAAAACGTGAGTAAATAATCGTGCATTAATGTATTTATGTATGCATTTTTTTTTTACTGATAAATACGACCTTCTCGTGCTCACTCCGCAGTGCGGATGCGTGTGTGTGTGTGTGTGTGTGTGAGAGAGAGAGAGAGAGAGAGCGCACTCCTTCACTGGTAGCCCGCAAAACCGGCTTGTTTGTCGGCCTTGGCTCCCGTTTCACCTTCACACTGCTCCCTCTAGGGAGGCAGTTGCTTTGGTCTCTTTCTTTCCAGACCTTTTTTTTTTCGTGAGGAGGAGGGGGGAGGGGGGCTCTTTTCTGGTTGTTCATGCCTCTTCATTCATTCATGGAGATGGATCAAAACAATTTCCAGACGACCTCTTTGTGAAGGCCCGGCGGCGCACGTGAAGAAGCTGCAGCAGTACCAAAAGGACGGTCGCCCGTTAAATTCGTGCCCTCCCCCTTCCCCACTCCTATTAGCCCTCTTTTCCACCGTTGAAACGGAAAGTCGCCCTCAGCACTCGACCCTTCCACCCCTTTTCGTTTTTTTTTTTTTTTTATCTATTTTTCTTTTTTTTCTTTTTCCTGTTGTTTTACCAGCGCAATTCGTTTCTTTCCTTCGTTTGGATTCATTGGCTTTCGCCTGTTGCTGCCCTCGTGTTTGGCTGCACCCGTGCGCGCGCCTAAATGAAGGCGCACGGGATGGCAACCTTTGAAAGGGGTGTTGGCGGCAGCGCACTCTCCGTCACTGCCTTCAGGACGTAGAGGTACTCGCGGCAGACAAGCACCTCCTCAAAGTTGGCCTTGCTCAACTCGCTGTCAAGGAAGCCAAACATATTCGGAATAAACACTGTATCGCACTTTAGCGACTTGCACAGGACAAGCACCTCCTCCGCCTTCTCGGGTCCCTTGAAGGAAGTGAAAATAGCGTACACACACATCGCAGCGCCACGGGTCTCCCCTGTGTGCCGCTCTAGATTGCGGAGGCGCAAAACAACAAAATCCGTGATTGCCCCGCTCGCAGGCGACACATACACAAAGGCGGAAAGACCATCGGCAACGACGGCCCGCAGGAGGTCCTCAGTTGTTTCAGGCAGGTACGCAACATCAAACAAGTTGACCGTGTTTTTAGCAACAAACTCATGCAACAGCTTCACCTGCTCAGGGTTGCCACGATCCACGCCACACCAGCCCTCACGGTGGGATGCCTTTTGGGCACAAAAAGATTTTGTCAGTGCGTGTTTAGCAACGATGTCAGCGCAAAGAACTTCATCGTAGTGGTAAAAATCTGGGAAAATTTCTGTTGCATGACGCTGCCGCATAACGCTACCTGGCGCAATTGAGCGCTGAGACCACTTCACGAGACCAACGGCAGATACGGGCAGTTGCAGTGGGCTGCGGAACACCACAGTCGTATGTTTAGAGGCTTGAAGTAAATTGTGCAGCTTCGTCATCATTAATGTGGCGACGTTTTTTGTACGAGCTGTGGGACAGACGGCTAGCTGCGTTACCAGCACAGGATCCTGGGTCTTAACAATGCCATTCTTTCCCACAAGGGATCCCCCCAATGGCACTGCTACAACCACACCGCGGAGAGTTTCCTCGCCGTCGACGACTTGCATCGCACCAACCATCGTGGCGTGGGGGAGAGTGGCGGTAAGCGTCTTAATCTCCGCTGGTGGAAGCCAATTCTGAAACCCGTAGCTCTCGCGTGTTAGGCTCACACCACTCAGAGCACGCACAATCTGATCGTGGTGTGCCCCCGTAAGCTGCGAGACCTTAAAGGGAATCGCAAAGACATCTGTCGTTGCAGGCGTGGCGGTGGCGTGAGACCCCTGATTTTTCCAGAAGGTGCGCGGACGAGACTCCTGCAGAGGAGGCGGAGCAGGCTTCGACATCGTAAACTTCGGCGGGGGCTGTGTGAAGACCTCGACGGCCTCCTCGTAGCTCTTCAACGCCTCAGCCGCCTCAGAAAATGTTTCAGCCAACAGTTTTGCAACTTCGTTGTGCTGATTCAGTACGGCGATGTCGACAGGCGTCATTTTCTTCTCATCCCTTGTAAAGGGCACCCCTTTCTGTATGAGGTACTGAAGCATCGAGACATTCCCGCTGTCCGCCGCATAATGCAGGGCGTTGCGTCCGTGGTTATCCTGAAAAACGGTGGGGTTGATGCCGACAACAGCCGCAAATTCCTTAAAGGAGATAAGATCCCCCATCTTTGCTAGGCGAAGCAGTTCAAAGTCGCCCACGGTGCACCGCCTGGCGTTTGGCCCCGTCTCCACCGTCTCACCCATCAATTCTCCCATTGGCTTGGCGTACATGCAGACGCCAGCTGCACCCTCCTCTTCTGCCCGGTCCGCCTCCCGGAAGAATTCATCTTCTTCTTCATCCTCGTACCCATCTTCCTCATCACCATCACGCGCACCGTTGTGGGCGTACGCGGTGGTGTATGGCTGGGACATTGCCGCTGCCGCTGCGGAAGAGGCGCTGTCCTGCGTGTTCAGTTGGCTACGAAGCTGAGCCAGACGGGCCTCTTTTGCCGCCCGCTCTTCGTCAGAGAGAGGTCTTTGCATGCTATTCACTGCTAGGAATACTGTTCAATCGGTCGGCTCACTGAAAAGAAAAAAAACATACAACCAATAATAATAATAATAATAAGCATGAGGAATTGCTCTGCCAGGAGTGGCAAACACAAGCAGGCACACAAAGAAAAAAACGACGGCGGTGAAGACCGCCGCGGTGACCTAACCAGCACCACCACAGTACACCGCCGCCAGCCTCCTTTTTAACCCGGCCCTTTTATTTCAGGACTTACACCAGCGCGTAGACGGGGCGTCAAGCATGGGCCTGTGCGACACGGGAACCGAACTGAATCGCACGCTTCTGCAACCGCACCACGTCACCGAGCCCAAGCATGGAGGCACAGAGCCGCAGAATCTTCTTGTCACCCACACCAGGCGGGCCATCTTCAGCGCTGAAACAGCAGACTGGTGCGAGCGCCTCTTGTAGCGCCGCCTCCGCCTCCACGCTACCAGTGCCAGTGGCACACGTCGTGTCGGTAGCGCGTCGGTAGGCCTCTGCGGCTATTGAACCAAGTGTTTCCAGCACCTCTTCGTCCAAGTAGGGGTACCGGCCCTCCCTCCCACTATCACTCACCACGCGGTCATCACGCCCCAAGTTGCGTTTCCACAGTCGTGCAAAATCACGGTCAAGCTCCGCTGCCAAGCCCGTCACTCCACGGCGCTCAAAGGCACGGCGGTGACGAACGTACCCGCCAAGCGTCTCATCTGCTCCCATCCCGAGGAGCAACACACGCGACTCGCAGGTGTAGGTATCCACGCAGGACCCCAACGGGGACGACTCGCCATCGTCGACCAGCCACTTTGCAGGTGCCACTCGCTGCACTTTCGCCATATCCGTCTGCTTCACCAGACGAATGGCTTTGGACGGCGCCTCGTCATGCCTAGCAAAGGCAATCACACCGGCCGCGGACGCATCGTTGAGATACGACCCCAGTTTTTTGTACCCATATTTGCATAACACAGGACGCAGTGAGGCCTCATGATCTTTTCCCAAGGTTGACAGCAACACAGGAGATGAGGGCTCCTCGTTAAAGGCCTCCAATTCGGTAATAATAGCCTCAAGCAAAGGCGCAAATTTCGCCTCGTTATCTGCGTCACTGTGCGTAGGAATTGCCCCTTGCAACTCACGGGCACCTGCCGTCCTCGCAGTTGACACCCGGTACAATTTATGACGACCATACGAACGAGTTCTTGACCGCATTCGAAGCGCAATTTCAGCGTCAGCGAAGACACGCTGCATTCGTCCACAACCTTGCGCAGCATGCCATAATGCAGTGCCGATGCTCATGTCAATAATAGAGTTTCCCGGGCATAGTAGGCTCCGAATGTAAGACGTGTTGGAGTTGTGAGGGACATCCACCAGCACAAGACGCCACTCCCTGCCACTCGCGCAGAATGTCTCCTGATTGCCTTCTTTCAAGCAGGTTGGCAGCTGCAGCAACTGCTCAAAGGCTCTAAATGTGGCCAGCCGATCAGGGGCAAGCTCTGGAGCATCTCCAAAAGCCACATTAATTAACTCAATAGGAGTGGTGACAGGTAGAAGATAGTGCGTAATCGCGGCCAGCACGGTGCAGTCAATGCCTCCGGAAAACAACACCCCAATCGGTCGCGTGGGATCCGCACCGCAGTTCTCAGCCTTGACACGCACCCCCACGGCTTTCCAAAGAGACTGAAGGTAGCGGGTGGCCATGGCGACGTCGAAACTAATGGGGTCCTGCAGCAGCGGTAGGGAAAGCATACCAATCTCCTGCAGAAGGCATCGAATGATCGCAGGACACTCCTCCGCAGTATTTTCATTGTTAATTCCCAAGTGCCCTCTCCCTGGGTTAGGCTGCGGCTGGGATTGAAAGCGCAATAGTGGGTGCACACTGTGAGCCATCGACCAAGGAAAATGAGAAACCAGAGAGGTCTGTGCGGACGCTGCCACGTCAATGACAAAGAGACCCGTGTTGGGGATCTCTTGCCAGCAGCAACCAGAAGAAAAGGAAAAAAGCGATGCGGCAGAGTTCTTCTCGTCGTCCTTATCCTCGTCACCTTTCTCAGCTCGGTTGTCTGATCCACCTCTCCCGCGTTTATTACCCTCTCCCTTAGCCTCTCCTCGCATGCAACTTGATTTCAGGTGACCACCCGCAACAGAAGATATCACTATCTCCACATAATTTGTCTCCAAGGCACCGCTCTTGCCCTTCTCCATCTTTGCCGGCGAGGCCGCGGACACATGCAAAAGCAGGGACCGTCGCCCAAGTGGGTCCCGCCCAAACAGAAATAACCGCAGCGAGTGGGCGTAGTACACAAAAGCATAGGGCCCTTCAATGTCACTTTCAAAGAAACGCACACACGACTCCGCAAACGAGGTCTGCGCCGCGGTCAGAGCAGCCGCATAACGCGCATTATCTGTTTCATTGAAGCCGTCGCACAGACTTATCGCGAAGCTATGCTCCAACTGGTGCAGGCGCTCAAGAACGGCAGTTGTATCGGATATCTCAGGATGCAACTGCAGCGCACCACCAAACACTTCACCATTCCACTCAAGGAACGACAGGCATGGTGTTTGTGGACAAGAGCAGCTAGGCGCTGCCATCGCCGGCTGTGGCATCCCACCGCTGACGCTGACGCTGCCGCCGCCATCAGCAGCACAAAGTTCACCAAAAACAGTACCACGTAGGTGCAGAACGGCACAAGTCGCCTCCACGCGGACACCAGAAGCAACGTCAAGTTGCAGCGATGCAAATGCATCCGGACCGCGACGTTGCAACGACTGATAAATCGCCGCCCGATCAACGTCGCCGCCTTTGCATACCGTTGCGTCATGGATGTCCTCTCGCCCGCACAGATGCAGAATGCAGCATATACCACACATGAACCCGCCTCGCTATCCCCACCACACCCCCTTCTGGTTGAAACTGTCTGTATCTACGCGGGCATGCATTTAGATAAGCAGAAAAACAGTAGTAAATGGAAAAATCAAAAAACAAAAAAAAACAAAAAAAAAAACAAGATACCACAACGCGGGCAGAGACAAAACGGGGCACAGAAGAACCCCTAACTAAACTGCATCCTTGCGCACCCACAGCAGCAGCTGCAGCATTGCTGTCATCATAAGAGACCAAAACGACTGAGACAAAGTTTGGGTACACGCACATGACATCAACACACCACATTCAAAGAAAAAAAAACCCTCGAAAAAAAAAAGACCGGGGAAGGGCAAGTGGGAGGTTTAAAAGAAGCGGGTGGGAGCGTCACTGTGACTGCGAAGACACCATCAGCACAGCGAGAATCATGTGTTCAGCTGCAAAACGGTGCGGCGGCGCTCTTTTTGTCATGTAAACGTCCTTTATGATCTCCCTGTCGGCATATCCGCCTCGTTCGGCTCCCCTCCCCTCCCCGTGACGTATAGTGAAGTGATAGGGCGGCAGGCGCAGGAATCCAGCGCCCATTACTGCAAAGACAAAAAAAAAAAAACGTGGACGAGGGTGCAAGAAGACCCCGCCGCAGCGGTCGCACCAAACGCATCGAAAGTGGAATCTGCAGGGAAAGAGAAGGGACCTCCAGCACTCATGCCGACTGTGGAAATAAAGGCAATCCGTAGTTAACCAAACCGATAACCGTTCTTCGGCATGTAGCTGGCAAGGCCAAAATAATAGCTGCGCGAAGGTGGCCGTCGCAGACAAAAAAAGTCTAGCC